TCAAGAGCTCATGTCACATAAAAGTTTCTTCCGGTGTTTTAAAACTATAAAATGCTCTGTATCAATTAAAATGTATATGAATAGTAACGACAGTACTAAAATTGTAACAGCAAATCTATGCATCATGCCATTGTCCACATTAAACTGGTGACGACCTATCCAAAGCTACTATTCAGCGAAACTTTTAAGGCACCACACACAGATTCACAAGATGCTTGATTAAAATTATTTAATTAAGTTTATCTCTTAAAATTATTTTACTTATAATAATATTTTTAAAGCTACGTTTTATTGTGTTGAAAAAATATGCTTATCTTGTAATAGTTATTCAGTAAAGGATATTCATCTCAATACTATTTTATAACTCCTTTTACTAAGAATTAGCTATAACTATATACATCCCCGATCAGCCACAATATATTTTTACGCAATCGTATTTTACACAGATTTAAAATATGACGAAGACAAAAGCTGAAGTTTTTTTGGGAGAAAGAAAATTTCACCTAGTTAAATGTTGAAATAAGAGACAGAAACAAAAGTAAAAATTTGCATAAATTTGATAGAAATTTGAGTCATATTATCACTATTAAACAAACTGAAGCTAGGTTCTTTGATAATATTATAATAATTTTTTTTATGTCAGTCCTTATTTTTGTTATTCATACATCGGGTTCTTCTTGCTAATAGATTTTTATTTATATGCAAAAAATAGGAACTAATTTTAATCGTTATCTGTATTAAATCAAAACTCAGCTAAAACTGAATCAAAAGTAGCCGTTCCAGGAGCATGCGTTCAGTAAACAGAGGTATCCAAAACACAGCATTGATATGGCAGAAAATCTTCACAGAATTTCCTTTGCAGTTGATCTAAGTGCTAATGAAATAGCGGCTTTTTGCATCTTGCGCAACAAGAAGATTATTACCTCTACCAACATGCTTGTGCTATGGGATTGCCGATGTAGGAAGCAACACAGAGATGAAAAACAAAACTTTTTATGAAAGAAGAATATGTTAAAGTATTTTTAAGAATGCTTACGGGATGATATTTTTATCACAAAAAGATATATTATTGTCTACCTTGTACAACTCATATTTAATATTATAGTGGTCATGATTCATATTAAAAATGTAATTGATACAGGAATATATATTTTCGTTCTTAAAACTTTGGGAGTATCAAATGTGCAAACAATGATGTACGACAAATATGCAGAATAGTAAATGTGTTTTTTTAAGTATTAAGTTAGAAACAGAAGCAATTGTGCACCATTTAAAAAGGAAAAAAAATAAAAGCAATATTTACTCTACAAGATGCTAAAGCCTTCTACTTTATCATAGTTTTAAATCAGAAATTAAATCTGGTAAATTTTTGTTTTATACAATATTTCAAGAATAGGTATATTCTGTAGAGCACTAAGAAAAGGTTTAAAAAACATCAGCGAAATGTAAGAAAAAGTACACCAAAAAAGGTAATGTTAAGAAAGAGCCAAAAAATAAGTAGCAATATGAAAACTTCAGATTATAATCTAATACATTGAAAAAGAGCTTAAAATTAACTATTAAAATTACGTTTAAAACCGAGAAGTATAAAAATTATCAAGTGTTTTATTTCTCTTCTTAATCAAATATAATATAAATTACTGCGAACTCAGTGCAAGTAAATATTTACGGTTCGATAAAATTTAAACTCACTCCGAAAAGGATTTCTAATTTAAAAGTTTCGGTGCTTCTTAACGCTGTTTTTTAAAGAAAAACGGTATAAATATAAAAATATCGAAATATTAAAAAACGCTACATTAAAGTTTTCAATATAATTAAAAGACAAAGCTACAAAAAAGATTGCAATCTACACATTTTTAGAAAGTTTCACCATCATCATCCAGGTTTGATCAGCATGAGTGCAAAATATAGTTTTAGAAATAACAGTGTTAAAAACTTTGCAATAGATATATTGTATCAACATAAAACACAGATGTTAGTTATCAGACTTAGTGTGAAGTAACACTTTGTTGCAAAATGTTATTAAGAGAGTAATCTTTTACTTGATGCACTTACTTGCTGACGCACGAAATATATTCATAACATGGAAGATAAATAAAAGGACGTATCCACTGTTGATTAAGAATAGCAAAAGATATGGTGCTCCTGATATTTATTTCTATAATAAAAGGATTTTATCCCAAATAGAAAACAATAACTCTCCTTTAAGATTTAAAATAAAGTAAACTAAGAAAGCGTAATATTTTAAGTTGATTTTTGAAGCAGAAGTTAGAATTAACAATGTTTCTCTAGTAGTTAAATATATTAGATGCAGTAAATATTTTAAAGAACTGAGTTCGAAAAGCCTTCGCTTTCTCTTTGTTTTAATACACATATTATGGTTACAGATGTGGTATTAAGGATCATTACATAGAATAACAAGTTTCCAGTTAATTGCTTTTAACGTGTAAAGTAGGTATTTTCTTTTTTATTGAAAATGGGTAATTTAATATGTGGGTCAACTGACACATCTCTGAAGGGTTCCTTTTCATCAGTAGAAAACGGAAGTAAAAAATGGAAGACTAATTTGACTATTTTAAGCAAAACTATCCTGTTTGACTTATTTTTGTTTTGAAGAAGAATTGGTCTTTAACACGACAGAGAAAAGTTTTTGTCATATTTACGTACACAACGTTTTTGAGAAAAGCGATCATCAGCTTTATTTTCTTAATTGTTGGTTGTGAACATATACCGTATTTTACGGACCGCATTTTTTTCTTCAAAAATTGCCACTAAATTTCAGGTGCGTCTTACACTCGAAATTAATATAAAAATGTCCAGTGTTTGACTTAAAATTCACGCCAGTCTTAGAAATGGCCATATATTCGATGCCGCCGGAAACCTATCTGTATCTAGTAACATTGAATTCAGCTGGCAGCAACTAGCAACATTGTCTCTCTCCCGCTCCGCCATCACAAACATTGTCTAGCCTATGATGCGTCATTGCAGTCTACGGTACCAGTGAACTTGAATTGAAAGTGATTTGTGTTATCGCTTACATTACAATATTTTTCTTCGTAGTTAGTTTCACAATGGGAAAACGTAAAAGGTATTCATACGATGCGCGCTATAAATTGAAAGTAATAGCATATGCAGAAGAACATGGAAACAGTGTAGCGGAGTGGCATTTCGGCCCTTTATCAAAAGAAAAAAACATTCACGATTGCCGGGCTAATGAAGAAGAGCTGAAAAAAATGAGGAATATTAAATGGGCAAATAAAGAGAACAGAATGCAAAATGGCGAAAACTAGAAGTTGATGTATTGAAATGGACAACTTAAAAAAGGACACCTTCAAAATGGCATTGGAATTAATGCAAAAATGATTTAAATACACTTTCGTAAGTTAGCGCTACACTGGGACTTAACAGATTTTAAGGGTGGAGTTGGTTGGTGTCGCAGGTTTATGAAGCGTCATGGATTTAGCATGCGAACCAAAACCAAAATATCTCAGAAAATTCCACAAGAGCATGAAGAGAAAATATTAATTTTCTATCGCTTTATTATTCAATGCCGAAAAAAAACCATTGTGGAACTAAGCTAGATAGCGAATATGGACGAAACTCCTCTAACATTTGATGTGCCGAGTAACAGAATTATTGTCATGAAAGGTGATAAAACTGTAACTATAGAAACGAGTGGACATGAAAAAATGAACTACATTGTTGTCCTTTCATGTTGTGCTGACGACGCTAAACTTAATCCAGTGATCATTTTCAAGCTCAAAACAATACCAAAACCATCTGAAATTGTTGTTCACGTACATGACAAGGGTTGTGTGGATGAGGTTGGTATGAAATTATGGATTAACAGGGTGTGGGAGAGAAGGAAAGGTGCTTTATTGAAGAATAGTTCTCTTCTTGTGCTAAATCAGTTTAGTAGCCATTTGAAAACTTCTGTAAAAGAGAAACTGAGACAGGGAAATACAGAGCTTTCTGTTATTCCGGGAGGACGTACTTCACAACTGCAAGCTCTTGATGTCTTGATAAATAAATCATTTAAAGTGTATATGAGAGAAGAATGGAACAAATACATGATGGGTGAAACCCATCATGAATTGACGCAGAATTGAGCTTTAAAACGACTTTAAAACAATCGAAATAAGTGTATCAATGGATAAAATAGTCGTGGTCTAGAGTGAGAGAAGATATTATTAATTTCTTTAAGAAGTGCGGCATAAATAACACTCTCGGGGGCAGTGAAGACCATCTTATTTATGAAGATGACAACGATGACGATAAAGAGGAAGAAGAAAGTTCAGTATCATTTTCAAGGATATTTAAAGGTCAGTTTGGTTTCATAAACTAAGAATTTTTTTAGTCTGACTTTGCAATCTAGTAATAAAAATGGTAAAAATGTTTTTTTTAATTGCTTAATTTAAGGTGCATCCTATAGTTCGTAAAATGTGGTATTTCCAAAATTTCTTAAAATAAGGGTATAGAGTTTTATGAAAGCAGATAGCTCTTTTTTTAATTATGAATGTAATTAAAGAATGGATGTTCTTTAAAAATTAAATCTCGCATTTTTACTTTATTCATTTTATTCTCTGACTAGTTCAAAATAATTTCATGCCTGTACATGTAAACGTCATGTACAATTGTGAATACTTTAACCAAAAACAATGTGAACTTTGATAATCTTTGTGTATTTCTGTACATATAAATAGTGTAAATAGGCAATGAAATGCTTAAAATAGCAGATGCATCAAGAGTGTTCTAACTCTCTCCATCCTGTGAACCACAACAACGATCTTTGCTGAGATTCTACGATTGGTAAGATAATGCATTAACTACAAGAGAATAATTTGCGTATTACCCTAGAATAAATTATTAATCTCGTCTAATTAAATACCATTATAATGGCAAATAATTAGTCTTGATATGAATTTCCTCTGTTTTTATATTGCTTCATGTGTGTATTAAATGTGTGCATTTTGTATTTCCATTTTTTTTTTTTTGCTTACCAAGGGATGGTGCTGCTCTGGTTAGATCATGATCCAACATTTGTCCCCATGCGGCGATCATGTTGCATATTCCATAGTCATGTTCGCTTACGTCGTGGTGCATTACCAGGCTTACAACACGAGGACTAGGGAGCGGTGAACCATCGAAGGACCTTCTAGGTATTGATATACCTAAAAAAAAAAAAGAAAAGAAAAGTAACGAAAACGTTAGTAAAGTTAATAAGAATTAATAAAATCTCGAAAATTAAACGCTTCCATCTAACGGTCTATAATATAAATGATTTTATTTAGCAAAAACATAAAAATTATTTACATGAATTGAAAAGAATATGATCGTTAGTTTGAATACTAAGAAAAATTCAGATTGCGTATATATGAAAGCATGCACGCATAAGCAGAACTCCTCAGAAATGGATTCAAGCTGTACGAGTTCTAAGTACACGAATTGCTTAGTCTTTCTTTTCTATAGAATTTAATTAAATGTATTGTTTCATTTAATTAAAGTAAACTCAAATTAACTAATATTTATTATATTATTAAATTTATTATTTTAGCATTTTCTTGAATAACTAATGTCTTAGTTTAATATTATTGGAATAGATAGAATTTTCGTTCCAAGGAAATAAAATTAAAATTTATTTTCATTAACTTTCTTGTTTTCTAGTAGAATAAAATAAGAAATAATATTGTACACATAGGTTTAAAATTTATGCAAAATAATTTTTGTGCTTTATTTAACTTGATGTGAAAAAACTGTTTTATGTTTAACCAAGTAAAATATAACGATATTTTTTAATTCTATCGATAAAAGTGCATTTTGCTTCGAAAAAAATAAAATTCATATATTTGAAACCGGTGTTACCTTCCCTGAAGTACAATATAATAAAACGAAAAATAAATTCTCTTACTTGCACTACCAAATATTCATAGAAAGACTATAGAAGTCAAACTATAAAAAAAAAAATCCTGTTTTAGATGTGTCGAAAATTCGGATGATGTGTGATCGTCTTAATTTGAATGTTCGAAGTTCTACTGTACACACAAAAAAAATTTTAATTTATTCCTTATGTAGCAACAAACAGCCTTTTGACATCCTGATCGTATAGATAGTGATGCTGGGTGCAAGACGTTGGGCCCCATTTTGAATTCTGAGGAAGGCTTGGATAGGTGTAGACAGCCTTGGAGTCATCGCGCACTTGGCAAACGGAAATCTTCTCGAGCGATTTGATGATAGGGGATGAGAGATAGGTGACCTTATGGACCTTATGGATCTGTTCCTTATGGATTCTCTTTCAAAGCTTCTCAATTTTGAAGAGATGGACAAATTCGTGCTGCAATCTATTATGTGCCCAAGGCCCATGCCAACGACAGACACAAACCAGTGCTTCTAGCCGCAATAAAATTCGTGGACTTGATATAATGTTACTGTCAGTCAATTGAGATAAGTTACCATAAAATTGTTTCTAACAGTGAGCATGAAGTTATCTATTCACAGCAGGAAATTGAGATCTTGCTTAATCGTTTTGCTAGGGTTGTTAATCATAGTTTGAAAATTTATTAATGTGTTGAGCAACAACACTTAAGAATTTAAGATAACGGATTTATTTTTTATCAATAATGGAAATGTTTCTTACCATCTCCATAAGACGGCGGGATAAATCTTATCATAGCTGATCGGGCACTGCCCCATGAAGGATTGTCTAAATTATTGCACATGCCACTTAGTGTCCTGTACCGAGAAATTTCACACTTCACTGGCTGCAAAAAGGTTGGACAGATTTCTTTGATGGCTGTCTTGGATGTATCAATTTGGGGTAATCCATGGGCAATAGCATCCACGCTCAGACCGAACCTAAACCAGAAAGTAACACTTAGTGATGATGGAAAAAAGTATAAAATACACAAGAATTTTTCAAAATTTGAAACAATCAATCAGTATATTTTGGTAGCTTAATAACATTATTTAATAGCCCCCCCAAAAACATTTTAAAATTCTGCGCGTTTATAAGTTTTTAAAAGTTTGCGATTCTAGAAACGTACAACACAGAGAAAAATAAATTTTTAACAAACTTCTCAGCTTTTAAAATGAATCACATGCTATTGACTTTAATGCTACTTGGGATTATTAATGTTGCAGTTAATGTTAAATTCGGCAGAAACGGTAGAGTCACCATGTAAAATTCATTAGAAATTTTTACAAGGTTTCACGATTCATTAAGGGAACTTATATTTTTAGAGACTTGAAAAGCGTGTAAAGACTAATAAAAACGTGTTCTACCAAAAATATTAGTTTTATAAGATATTTCTCCCGCTTTCTTGGCATGCCTTCGTGGTGTAGTGATCAGCACGCAGGACGCGTATTCGAGAGGTCCGTGGTTCGAGTCCCGGCGAGGGCATTCCTCATTTTTCATTTCTCCTGCTTTCAAAATAACCTAATGCCTCCACAGTTTGTTTCACATTTTATAAATATGTCACATTTTATAAATGAGTGAGGTGCAAAATGGATTGCTTAGCGCTTTAAATTCATCCAACTAATCATTACTGATGCGAACCTAATTGCGGTTTCCAGTGATTTATTAAAAACCAGATTGTATGCATGAAAAGCAGTTTTTACCTTTTATTCGGCTCAGAGCTGTATAGTGCAGAAGTATAGCATTATTGGGATATTATTTGAATTATCCTGCATGTTTTATTTGTTGATGTTTTGCAATCATTAGCAACTAATCACCGGGGAAGTAAAAGCAACTTTTTGGTTCATAAAACTCATATTAGAGGAATGAGATACAGCTATGGTTTTTCGCATCTTCATTAAATTCTTACAAACTAATCACAAGAGATCAATTCTCTTCACCTCTGCTTCTTCATACCCTTCATTTTTCTCCTAGATTACAAAATTCCCCAAAGAAAGGGAAATTGTTAAAAGTGAAAGTTCCAATGAACAAGATGCTTTCTGACTTAATCACCTCGTTCATGGCACACTCTTCGCATTCATTCTACCATTTTTTCCCTAGATTAAAAAGAACCCCAAAGAAAGGGAAATTGTTAAAAGTGAAAGTTCCAATGAACAAGATGCTTTCCCGTGACATCATCATAATCAGCCTCGTTGTTAACATGGCACACTTTTTATGTCGGACAGAACAACCGTCAACTGAACGCATAAGTCTGCATTCTATGCGAAACGACCCCAAACGTGGACAGCTCTTCCGGTTTCTCCGTCCTTGGAGAATATTAATTATTGAACGGAAACATTCGGATCGAGAATGAACGCAAATCGAAAGCGATTGAGGTCCCGGCGCCAAAAGCGGGTCGTCAGGCCTGAAAGCTGTCACGTTGAAATCAAGCGATTCGAAGTTTTCGTGTTTGTTTTTGAGAGTAACAAATTACGTTCTACTCTTTGTATCATTATCGTTTAAATCAACTGATCTAGTTAAGAAAAGATTAATTTTCCTTAGTCACTGTACTCGCGTTAATTAGATATGACCCGCAGCTGCTCTGACTTTTTAAAAGCTGTTTATCTTCTTGAAAAAGAGATTAAAAATCAAATTTTTATTATTTACAAATTAATAAAAATATATGTTGAGATTAATATATAATACCTATAATCTACTGAAAATGAAGAAGATTTTACTTTTTTTTTCAAGAGAAAAGACCTACTTAAAATAATAGATTTCGAATGTTTTGTAAGTGAGAAGAATTTATTGTTGTACCTCTACTCTCTATCTAAGTAGTAAAGCCACTTCTTGCATATATCAGAAGGTTTAAATAAAATATTTATTAAGAAATTTCTTTAAATGAGCCAGAAAGAAAACGTTTGAATAAAATGATAAATTCTGTTGTTATGATTTCATACAGAGTAATAGGAAAACTTAGAACGTATTTATGATTAAAATATGAAGAATGACCAGGATAATCATCAACACTTTATTGCAACTCATAGCAAGGTAAATACTGTATACTCAGTGATATTCGCATCTAAAGAACTATACAGGATTTAAACAGCTTTAAACCAAATAAAACTGATTTCTCTAAGCACTAGCAAATTTCACTAGATTCTTTGTTTTTTTACCATTTATAAATTTATTGTAACAGCTTTGCCTAGAATAATACAGGAAGCTTCTACAAAATCCATGGACGATTACTCATACCGGTGATCTAAACAAATCGGAACAACAACAACCTTTTTGTGTGCTGAAAGACAAGAAGACACAGCATAGACTAATGTTTTGATTCTGAGGTGCATTTGCCTTAAGGAAGCTCGTAAAAAACGTAAACCTGTAATTTTCTTTGATTGTTTTAAAACAGTAATTCTTTAAGCTGTTGTTGGTTTTTGCAAGGGGTGAAACACCCCACTTCCCCGGGCGAAACAAGTTCCTTAAGTTATAAAACGTAAGAAAATTTCTTCGAGCTATAAAGAAATGCTTAAGAGCAATATAGTTCCTCATACATTCGTAAAATGAGCACTTTGAACATTTTAAACCTAAACTCGGAGTGGCTTTCTGCTTTATCCGAGTTTTCGGTAATAAGAGGGATCAGGTCATGTTTATTTAGATAATGGGCATTTTACACCGTAAATACTTTTCCAGTATATATTTAATCATAAATACAAACATACAGACGTCAAGACGTAAAATACATTAAATTCGAGAACATTCTTGGCTGAAAGACTAAATACTGAAATCAATGTCATTAAAACTGTTCGAATTTTCTTCGTCTCGCGAGTTAATTAACAGTCGGAAGTAAGAGAATCACAGTTGAACAAGCTCAGTTCAATTATACTGTTACACTGGCCATTCTTTAATCCTTTATTATAGAGTCAGATTCATTTATTCATACACAGTTGTTTAATAAATTTCAAAAAGGCAATATAATATTATTATTCCTTACGTAATTTTTAAATATACTTGATGAAGTGAAAAGGATAATACCTATTTCTAATGAATTCTGTAACATTGTAAAGACCTGTGCATTATGATCATTTGATTGTAAAAATAAAATCTGCAAAGAGAGCTAAGTAAAACAGCTAATAATATATACTGTATGAAAATTAATAATACATGCTGTTTATCTATGAAACAGTACCCCAATTAAGAATTTAATTGCAGAGTGTGAGGAAAAAAGACTCATTATATTGTGGCATTTATGTTTAAGTTTTGCAAGCGAAATATTATTTAAATTACATCTTTCCTTTCTCTTCATCTTCCTTCCATCTGCTTCATTTTGCTACGAGGCTTGCTCATTCTAGAATTTAAGCAAATTTGAATTGCCATCAGTTTTACTCTGAAGTTAGACGAACTACGAATAACTATGTGGGAAAGTTTTGGCTTGCTGGCTGCAACTGCCTTGCCATGCATAAATTTGCTCTGTTTTGCAACTCTAACGCTGATTTTGAAATAAGTATTACAGAATAAGGATAGTTTTGCATGGGTAAATTAAAGATTCGAATTTCTGTCGCGGTCCAGGCACAAATTGTAGCTTTTGTTAGTAGCAGATTAAGTTGTTGAAATTTATAGCAATCTGAAAAAACTTGTGTTTAAACCCGTTACAGGTGACTAGTAATCTTTTGTTGTACAGTTCTAACTTAATCCTCACAAATAGTAAGATGAAATACATCTAAAGTAATGTTATTTTTGTGTTTGTTTGTGTGATAGATCAGAAATCCTACAGGCGATAAATCATATCACAGAATTTACGCTGCACTTTAGTTTGGTGTAAAGGAGCTAGCTAACTTTATTTGAATCTACATCAGGTGTTACAGTTAAACTTTGATAATTTTATACACTATTATAAGCTGTACACCGCTATAGGTATAAGTAACGAAAGAGAGGAAAAAAAAAAAAAAAAAAAAAAAAAAAAAAAAAAAAGAAAAAAGAAAAAAGAGAAAAAGAAAAATATTGGAAAGAGAGAATTCATTATATCTCTCTCCTTTCCGCATGCCTTCGTGGTGTAATTAAAAGCACACTCGGCGAGTATTTGAGAGGTCCACGTTCGAGTACCGACAAGGGCACTGCTCATTTTTCACGTCTCCTGTTTCACACCTAATGACTCTACCTAATGACCTAATGACTCTACCTAATGACCTAATGACTCTACAGTAGCGCCCGAACAAAAAGGTGATGGATCATAATTCGTCACCACTAGGATTTGGCAACAGAGTCTCCTAATTCCCTGTTGTCCTTTAAATGTGGAGTATATAAAGTATTTTCTCCCTCCTTTTAGCATGCCTTTGTGGTGTAATGGTAGCACATTCGAGAGTATTCGAGAGGTTCAGGTTTGAGCACCAGCGAAGACATTGCTCATTTTTTACGTCTTTTGCTTCAAAACAACCTATTGACTAAAATCTCAGATTTAATATTACGAAATCAAAAGTACAAACTTATTATGGGTTTTTCAGTGGAACGTTTCAAGAAGAATACTTAATTAAAAATTTCATACACAGTTCGTACGGAAACAGTAAATTAACGCAAAGATCACTTTTACAAATAAAAATACAAAATTTATAAGAATTTAAATTCGATGTTTACTATTTTAATACTAGAACATTTTCTTCATTTTTAACAATAAATATCTCACTGTTTTCTCAAACTATTTTAATATAATTATAGCCAACAAGAATTCTGTGTTTTATTTGCAAAATTATTACTATTGGAATAATAATGACTTAAGAAGTTAAATTAATCTATGATATTAAGTTAAATTAAAGAACTTTGAGTTTTAGGTAAATGTACATTCAAACACATAAAAACTGTAATTATCTATGTTCTCTGATTATATTAACTATCTTAGTTACAAACATTATCCTGTTTGGTTATGAATCGGATGATAAATGGTCATTCGAGATTTCAAGGAAACCTT